CCAGAAATAAACTCAAATAGTACACATTAAATCAATATTATTTTAGCAATCGGTTAAATCCGAAAGTTCGGTTCTTAAGAATGATAAACGATAATACTATCGTCCCTAAGAAACAATAATACTATCATCCCTAAGGAACGATAATACCATCGTCCCTAAGGAACGATAAAACCATCGTGTCTTAAAAATGATAAATGCATCGTACTTAAGGAATGATAAAATTGTCATTCCTTAGGTACGATAATACCATCGTTTCTATAGGTACGATAAAATCGTTGTACCTAAGAAACATTAATACCATCGTATCTAAGGAACGATAATACCATCATGCCTTAGGAACGATAATATCATCGTCCCTAAGAAACGATAAAATCATCGTCCCTAAGGAACGATAATATCATATCCCTAAGGAACGATAAAACCATCGTTCCTTAGGTACGATAATATCATTGTCCCTAAGGAACGATAAATGCATCGTATCTTAGGAATAATATTACCATTGTCCCTAAGGAATGATAAATGCATCGTACCTTAGGAATAATATTACCATTGTTCCTAAGGAACGATAAATGCATCGTACCTTAGGAATAATATTACCATCGTCCCTAAGGAACGATAATACCATTGTCCTTAAGGAACAATAAATGCATCGTATTTAGAATGATAAAATCATCGTACCTAAGAAACGATAAATGCATCATACCTTAGGAACGATAATACTATCATCTCTAAGGAACTATAATACTATTATCCCTAAGAAACGATAAAACTATCATTTCTTAGATACGATAATACCATTATCCCTAAGGAACGATAAATGCATTATATCTTAGGAACGATAATACCATCGTCCCTAAAGAATGATAATATCATTGTCCCTAAAAAACGATAAAACCATCCCTAAGGAATGATAAATGCATTGTACCTTAGGAACGATAATACCATTGTGCCTTAGGAATGATAAATGCATCATTCCTTAGGTACGATTATACCTATTATACCTAAGGAACAGTGCAACCTATTCCAATCGGACATCAATCAGTTATAAATAAGATAGGTTGAATTTTGATATATACCAATCAGCTATAAATAAGATAGGTTGAATTTTAGCTGATTCTTGGCTGATTTCTGATGTATGCTAATTGGCTAGGCTGATTTTTGATAATTTGCCAATTTTAGACCGATTTTAGGCCGATTTGGGCTGATTTTAGACCGATTTTTGCATGTCTGATTTTTTTGATTTCGACTAGTGAGCATAGAGAAATATTGAAGAAAAATATCCTAATATTGTTTGTCTTTCATATTATTACTCTTTTAATTAAAGATATTTTATTATTTGATGAAATTAAAGCTATAGTTAATAATGTAAAATCAATAGTAATCTATTTTAGATCTCATCTACAAACAGCAGCAAAATTAAAATATATTCAATTAGAAAATTATAACAAAGATATTACATTAGTTTTACCAGTACTTACCTTTGATATGTTTCTTATAACATCTAAATGTTTTTCAGGCGGTATGGAAGATAAAACGAATATTGATGAAACTATATCAATGTTATCATTTGATGGTATGAAATCCGATAAATTATCTTTGGTTAAATCACATACAAAAGCGTTACATCTCGTCTCATCGTATTGAGCATGACTCTAGAGAGGAAAAAATATAATTAATTAATTAGATAGATACATATACATATTATATCCTGGCAAATCATCTAATAAATTTCGATTATCCAGGATATAACTTATACACGCACGTATATATATATACCTTTACAAAATCAATCGCTCTCTTTGAAAAGTCACAAGCATAAACAAATAATAAAGGATTTGCATCCAAGACCGGAAATATAAAATTTCCTACACCACAACCTAATTCCAGTACATCTATCCTTTTATCTCGTGATTTTGAATCTTGATCATCATTATTATTAAACGAAAGTTCATTAAATTCTCTTCCAATCCAATGTCTATTTTTAAAAAATTTTGTAGTGTTACGTTTATAAAATAAATCCCTAATTTTAATTTTTTTTTTTTTTTTTTTTTTACAATAAATTTAATAAAGGTACATCAAATTAAAAATGATTGTGAAATGAGATAATATACCAATTTCTTGATGCCTCGTTTTTATATTTATTCACCCAAAATTGTGGTACTAATTTTTTATCATTTTTTAACATTTCTTGAATTTTTTCATAGTCCTTACTTCCCGGTTCAGTGGTTTTAGTTTCAAGACATTCAGGTTTATTATCGGTCATATTATTTGATATTAATTTATTTTTAATTCGTCTGGTTTTAATTAAATTAATAGACGAAAAAGATTGAGTACTTTTAAAACGATTGAACATATTTTTTTTTGTTAAAAAAAAAAAAAAAAGCTTTAACGTGATTATCACCACGTGATTAAGGATGGGAAATTAACCGTTAATTAACCGTAATATAAATTTTAATATAAATTTTATATAACAAAAAATTTTTTAATTTTTTATTTATCATTATCGCAATATTACTTATTAAACGGAAATTTATTATTACAAATAGCTATATTGATATTGTTACAACAAATTTATTACAAATCCGAAAATACTATCATCAAAATTCAATAAATCATCGTTATTATCATTGCCTCCTTCATTATTATCCTTTTTATTCTAAATTTACAGCATTTACTAACAAATTGTTTGATCAGGAGAAATCTGTAACATTGTTTATTGAGCTAGTAAAATTTC